CCCGCCCAGCTGCCCGGGCGGGGAAGGAGCCATGGCTTCCCGGAGCGCAGGAATGAAGTGCGGTTTCTGGGGCCGGTGGCCTCTGGCTGCGGAGCCTGCCTGCAGGGAAGCCGGCGTCCCGGAGCGGCCGCACTGGAGCTTCGGAGCCCCGTTTAGAGCTCTTGGAGGTGGCTGCGGTTTTTGTGCATAACCTTGGAGGAGCCTCTGCGATCCGAGAAAGACTATCTTGCTTTGGAGCATCTGTTTCTTCATCGCGTCAACCCCTTTCCTAACACTGCAGAGCTTGTTGTGGCTTGTTTCGGAAATGCCGAGGCCAGTGCTCACCCTTGCCGGTGGGAGAGGGGAAGAGAGTAGGCACCCCCAAAACCCCTGCAGTGTGATTTCCAGAAGGCCAGAGAGTGCCTGCAGCTCCGCCGTCGCACCTTCACTGACTTGAATGACCTTGGGGGAAGGATTGCGCTGCGGAGCCCCTGGTGCCTTATCTGGCGTTGGAGGAGAAGATACTCTCTGGACCTCCCTGCCTTTTGGGGATGTTTTGAGGGGTGGGGTTTGGTCAGGGTATTTCTTTTACAAACGGCTGCTGTTCTGGCCGAAGGAGCTGGACTGGTGTCAGAGCCGGGAGAATTCAAATCACCTACTAAGATCTGACTACCTCAAATTAGGGAGGGGTTTGGATTTTTAGGAGGACATTTCTTTTGGGAATCTGGACGGTGTGTTCCAGATTGCCTTCTGTCACTTTGCAACTTTGGTAGTATGCATGTGGATAAATTGAATTACCCCCATAGAAAATTCTTCTCTTGTCAGAAATAATTGTTTTGCTCAGAATTCCCCTGGGGGCAGATTAAGGTTTTGCTCAATTTACTCCTAGAAGAATTTACTTCTAGAAGAATTTTGCAGGTTTCTAAAATTAAATCACTTTTCTAAACATAGTAACTAAAGTTTGAAAAACTGGAAGTAGTGAGCTGGGAAGGGAATGGGTTGGAGGATGAAGAAGGCAGCAAACACTGGTTCTCTGTTGGCCAGTGATTAATGATACGGATTGTTAATTAGTCTTCCTTGATTATGAGGTGTTTTCTTAATCTTAAATAATTTAAGACCAAGAAAAGGAACTAATATTGTTTAGTTGCCTATTCTGTGCCCGGTAATTATGCTAGGTGGTATAGATCTTAGGCAGTCTTCCCAATAATTTTGTGAGGTGGTAGTTAGCATCTCTTTTTTTGTTTTGTTTTGAGATGGAGTCTCGCTCTGTCGCCTAGGCTGGAGTGTAGTGGCCGGATCTCAGCTCACTGCAAGCTCCGCTTCCCGAGTTTACACTATTCTCCTGCCTCAGCCTCCCGAGTAGCTGGGACTATAGGCTCTCCCCAACCCGCCCGGCTAGTTTTTTGTATTTTTTTAGTAGAGACGGGCTTTCACCGTGTTAGCCAGGATGGTCTCGATCTCCTGACCTCGTGATCCACCCGTCTTGGCCTCCCAAAGTACTGTTTTTTTTTTTTTTTTTTTTTTTGAGACGGAGTGCTGTCACCCAGGCTGTAGTGCAGTGGTGCGATCTCGGCTCACTCCAACCTCTGCCTCTCACGTTCAAGCTACTCTCCTGCCTCAGCCTCCCGAGTAGCTGGGAATACAGGTGCATGCCACCATGCCCGGTTAACTTTTGTGTTTTTAGTGGAGATGGGGTTTCACCATGTTGACCAGGCTGGTTTTGAACTCCTGACCTCAAGTGATCTGCCCGCTTCGGCCGCCCAAAGTGCTGGGATTACAAGCATGAGCCACTGCTCGCGGTCAGCATCCCTGTTTTATAGATGAACAAGCCAAAGGTCAGAAAGTAAAGTGACTGTCCCAAGTTCACACACACAACTAGTAAGAAATGGCGCTGGAATTCAAACCCAGGTCTGTTTCTCAGGTCTGTGGTTGTCTCTCCACTGTGCACACTGCCTTTGGAATCATGAGACCTAGTTTTTTGGCCTTTGACTCAGCCACTGGGTGACTGTGGGCCCTAGAATAAGTCAATTAGGTCTGTTCTCCAATAATATTGCCTTTTCTTTCAGCAGTGTTGTCAATATGCACTTGAAGTGTGCTTTTTTTTTTGGTAAAAAGACAGACATACAAGGCTGTAGTAGTGGTATGTACTATATGCCACTAGGTGCTTGCTTATTTCTTATGATGGAAGCATTTCTGTTAAAATGGAGAGTACCTAAGTGATCATATATTTCATTTATGTAATGGAAGTTGATGGATAGCTAATGGCCCTTCCAGTGTAAAGCGGCCATCATTAAGGTAACATTGTCAGAAACAGAACCATTTTTCATGTAATACAGCGTTCAGGGACAGTATCAACTTATGAGTAAAGCACACTACAGGTAGGACCCGGATAGTCCAGGCTGAAAGATGTGGTATAAACTTTGATGCATGTAATAGATGCACAGCAAATATTTGATGAATGAGTGAATGAATGTAATGAATGTATTCCTTTGTTTTTGGAGTGCGGTGGTGTGATAATGTCTCACTGCAACCTCAACTGCCTGGGCTTCAGTGATTTTCCCACCTTAGCCTTCTGAGAAGCTGGGACCACAGGTGCGTGCCACCATGCCTAGCTAACTTTTTTTTTTTTTAATTTATAGAGATGAGGTTTCCCTGTGTTTCCCAGGCTGGTCTCCTGGAACTCCTGGGTTCTGGGGATCCTCCAGTGTCAGCCTCCCAAAGTGTTGGAATTACAGGCATGAGCCAATATGCCCTGCCCTGAGTGCATTTTTTTTTTTTTTTTAAAAAAGCTTTATTGAGGTATAATTTACATACCATAAAATTCACCAGTTTTAAGTGTACAATTTGACGAGCTTTGACAAATGTATACAGTTGTATAATTACCACCACTGCGTTTATTTTTTTAAACTGTGTTGTCTTTTAGGAATTGCGTAGCAGATTTATCCCTGGAAATGTTGAGGTTTCTGTGCTCAGATTCAATACTGTGAGGTCAGAATCAATATTAGAGTGTTAATGTGCCAACTTGGGAGGAAATAGGAAAACCTTAGGTATTTAATGGTGAGGTAAATGGGAAGAATAAGAGGGAGAGACATTTATTGGATTAGGGGAAAGATAAATAAATTCAGGAGGAAGTAGATTTTAGTTACTTTTAAGACAGAGGATACATTTTGGGAAAAAGTTACCAAAAGATTTAAGGAGTTGAACTTTTTATTTTTTTTCTTTTGAAATGGTAGCTCCTGAAATATAAAACTTAACATCTTTGGCTGTACTTAAGAAGTGCTTAACAAATTATGGTTGTTCAAATAATACTTAAGGGTGGGGATGGTGTAAAGTGGTTGAAGGCCTTGCTCTTCCACCTATGACAGAATATCCTTAGTGTTGATGTCTAACTTGTTTTAAGTAATATTCCACAAAGGGAAGAATACATTAGGTAGCAATTGTGGCTTGTGGGGAAGATTGTTTCTTCCTTTGCATAATTTCTCAAGTCACTGAACTTCTCTCAGCATGCTTTAGCTCAAGTCTCTGTCTCTGTCTTAGAAAATGCCTGGAACCTCTGCTAATGAGCTTCTAGAAGAAGCCCCACTTCTACCTTCTCTTTATTTTTTGATTTTATCTTTATTCATTCTGTTTCTGTATGGTGACTGTTTTATAAACCCCTCTCTCACCCATGAATTAGTCTGAGAATGGAAACTTTTTTTTGCTCTGCCCGAAGCAAAGGAATTCTTGTTACATCCACCATTGGTCCTCCATATGCCATTAGGAAATGATAATTAAAATAACCCTTTAGATCTGCTCAAAGGGGTGACTATAATAATGTTCCTTCCTTGATCAGAGGACATGCTAATCTTTTCTGTATTGTTCCAGTTTTAGTATTTGTACTGCAGAAGTACTACTCTGTTCACCTTTGAGAAAATAATAACTCTATGAGGTGGTTATTATCCTTATTTTATAAATGAGGGAATTGAGCTCAGAGCAGTTAACTGCCAGAGCAAGTGAGGGGCAGACCATTGATTCAAGCTCAGGTGTGATTGATGCTCAGGTTTGGGATCTGTGTCATTACACTCTTTGTTGTATGGGAGTGGAG